CTTAAATCTTCGCGCAATGATAAGTACCCAATCTGGGGCAATCATTATACGGGCGTTGAATGTAATATGAGCTGCGTCGAAAGCATAACACTCACGACTTCGTGGATTAGCCCAGCCGGCGGCACCCTGGCAGGTCCCTGGAGCGGCGATGCACAGCTCTGCAGTGGTTACGAGGAGCAATGAGTCCAGCTTCGGTAGCTCAGATGGCTAATATACGCGCACTTGGAGATTCCTAGCTCTAGAGTTCGCTAAATCATGATACATAACCACCCTGCTACGCCCAGCCCCAACGCAGGGCTTTCGTCTCTGGCACCGCTTCGTTCGCGCTCCGAGCCCCAGGCAGTGACTGATTCCGCAACCCTGTATGCGGCGGGTGTGGCGAACGTGTGGAGCAGTGAACGAGGAGGCGCGCCTCGTCTGGCTGGATGCGACCCTCTGCCGCAGCTGGCGCCCAAACCACAGGATTGTTGAGTTGCAGGCGAGCAGCCGGCGACATGGAGCTAGACAGAATACACTCTCGGACCGCCTTCAGTGCATAAGAGGCTGTGCACACAAGTAGTGTCGTCTTCGGATTCCAAGCTCGCGCGTGCATGCGCATGTGTCCTTTGGGCTATCGATGAGCAGGGTCCCGTCGCTCTGTGGACGGGGGCGCAGCTTCGACTGTACGAGACTCTGAACGATCCTGTGTCGGTTTTGCCAGTCAGACTGTACACCCGAGCCGGGGCCTGTAGCTCTACCTGAAAGGAGGTGTTAGCATGTGCGGGGCTGAAGTGGTACTTTGTGTTGAGGGTCGTAAACCTAGAGGAGCGAACCGGGACCCGGTCGCATTGAAGTAGGCTAACGTCGGTCTGCAGTCCGCGCGTGACGTGAGAAAACGAAATCAAATTGACTTGTTGCACTGTGGATACAATCGATTATGCACAGACAAGAAAGTAACTGAATCTCAGGCCGATGAGTACCCGTCGTGATCTCAGAGAAGCTGGTGGTAAGGCTGGGACAAGGCGGCAAGCGTGGCGGGGCGGTGCGTGAAGCAGAATACTTGCAGAAGATATGGTCTGCATTTTGAAAGCCCAAGAAGCTGGGCCGAGCGCGCAGTGCGCGCAGCATGCAGGTAGCGTAGCGCCCGGTCGGATACGTGGATCACCTGCTTGTGGAGGGCAATAATCCTGTGATAAAAGGAAAGATGCATCGCGCGTTAGGCCGACCGTATGATACAGCTCTTGCGTCGTAGAAACAATGGGTGGTGAGCGATGCCTACGTATCAATGGTAGTCTTCTGGCCGATAGTAGGCCTGAGGGGCGCCGGTCTTGAGTGCACCGCATCCAATGTTGGCTGCGTTGCGCATCATTATCGGGAAGCGTACGGTTTTATCCACGTTGGCGCCAGCGATGAAGAGGCCTCTGCCCAGTTTATGGATGGCTGCGCATGTTACCACGACGCCAGTGCAAATGCTGGAGTCGCTCCGAGTGTGTCAGAATTGGGTTTGGACATGCGAAGGTCAGAACCATATCCGTCTACAGGGCTTACCACGCTGTCGATTGCCCGCGACTCGCAAGTAGGGCATGCGGGAGCAAAGGGGGTATACGCACAAAAATCATAACAGCACAAAATGGTGTGCATCAGAGCAGTGAGGGACGATTAAAGACGCTTCATGTTAGCAGTATATAAGAACAGTATTATGATAATTTGCGCACAAATACCCTTGCCAGCAGCACGACACCTCAGTATGTCGGTGGTTGACTGACAACTCAGGCTGTTGATGCGACCTCCCCCTCCCCGCCGTACGTCGCGCCGTACACCCGCCCAACCGGCTTCATGGGCTGCCTGTAACAAAAGAAGTGAAATCATTGTCGTAGATTGAGACCTGATGGATGTGCACAGAAGCGGTCGACCATTTGAAGCTTACGTATAGCTCGGACCGGGCCTGCCATGTGTTAACGTCATCGCCACGAAGGATCAGATGCGCCCCGGGGGGCGCATCTGATCCGCAGCCAAACCGCCGCGGGCGGTAGTGCGTGCCGCTGGACCTTCCGAAACACCCTAAGTTCTGCATGTATTTCTCTCTAGTCTAGCCTTCTGTTGACCAGCTCGTCTGATATACCAGCTGTTACTTGAAGCCCTCAGGCCTCAGCGCTCAGCCGCTAGGACTGTACCTGACCGTGCCACCAGAAATAGGCACTACGCTTCGGGAGCAACACCGCATTCACAAGGTTCGTTGACATCTTCACGTTGCTCTCGACATCTCACACAATACTGCATGCTCTTACAGTCACTCACGACTTCTCATAGATCTTTATTGTCCCTCCTTCGGCCTGGGTATGCCAAATTTTGGTTGAGCAGCAAGGTAATATCCACTTCCAATCAGGCGACGCTCGCGCACCGTCCGCGCGTACCCTGTCCCACGTTTACCTCAACCTAACAACTGTACAATGGATACAATGTCGATATGGTGTCTAGAGCATCCGAAAAGGTATCCATTGGTCTTCTGGAGGAAGGGAACAGCTTTTTACTCCGTACGTCATCCAAATATTGTTGGCCATGTAGAGTTCACAGTGTATCCCTCTCTAGACATTGTAAATATTCGGGTCAGCCTATCTGCAGAAGGCAGTCTTGCAAACACTCATGTGAACGCTATCGTAGCCGTCCACCGGCTGAGCGCAAGTCTGAGCCTCGGCGTCACCTGCATACACCGGAAAACGTCACCCTGTTCGGCGATACGTAAGACGTTGGAATATCCTCTACCCTTCCAGACGCCCTGCTGCCGGCTGTTTGCTCTTTGCTAGCTGTAAGCACGGTCGATGAACAACGATGGCTTGGAGACTTGGGCGGAAGTACCCGGTGTTCTCAAGGTGAGTTTTCGCTCTATCTTGCAACATTCGTAGCTGACATGAGTTAACAAGGCGCGTAGGCCGCAATTCCAGTGTGTGACTAGCACCAGTACAAGTGTGGACGTTCTGTACGCCCCGATACTACGCACAATCAGACGCATCGTGGGTGCTCCTGCCTCCCGATGCCGCAGGGTGGGCTCCATGCATGCCACGCTACACGCTAGCCAGGAGGGTGGACTCTCGTGGATACACTCAATACTATAAATTTCCGACTGGAACCAACAGCCGCGGCGAGAGCCAACGGCCAGACGGATAAGCTTACCCG